CTTAACTATCAAAAAACGGAAGTTCGTGTTGTTGACCTGCTTGCTGCCATTTTTGGCGACCAAAAGATCCAGGTTTTTAGAGAAAAGGGTGAATGAAATTGAGGTACCAAAACCTGTGTTCAGCCACCTTAAACATTATGATTAACTAACAGCAATTCTGTCCCTAGTAAGTAAAAATGCTGACATTTTCTAAGAACCTTAAGGTGATTCCCTAGTAAAAGAACCCGCCATAGATTTCCGATGAAACTTGGTACACTGTTGTTACAGAACAAGGAAGTATTAAAAACGTAGTAAAAAGAGGGGATCACGGTGGTTGTTTTCACGCCACAATGCTGACAAAAACGGTTATTTAGGTGACTTTTGGTAATCTCCGTGCGCAACAAATAAGCTCAATTATTTTCCAATGCAGTGTGTTATATCACACAGAGTTTGACTTTCTTTGATTGCTTATTCATCTACGTCCCAGAAAAAATGTCTTCAAATACCCTACAGTTTTTATTCTATAAAGGAAACATAAGTTGGACATGCGCTGTTAGGCCCGTTATGTCTCCCTCTGTGGTATTTATTTCATTTGCCAAAAAAGTAGCCATAGATTTCGGCTATTTTTTTTCTCAGTTATTGAGGATATTGTTTAGTTATTGAGGATATTGAAATTATGAAATAAAAAGTGGGGGTCACTGTACTCGTTTAACAAAAAAGGAGCATCTAATTCGCGATCGAGCTTAGTTTGAGAGAAATCTCTTACGTTTTGTACGCGCACGCGCTCATGTGTGCGCGCTAATGACGCAAAAATCTTGCACAGTAGGGATGCACAATGCAATACTAAGGAATCAGCTTAAGCAAATGATGGCATTATTCAATGTTCTATGAACCAGCAGGGCCACTTGCAATCCCCTCATCTTTGACAAAACACAAATTGCCTAGCTTCTTTCGTGGTGCCAGAGAAAACCTGAATCATTAACCTTGTGTGGGTACGGAAAAGTCAAATTTCTTTGACTCTGGCCTGCTGGACATGTTAATCTATGGCTAACAAATGACACAACTTCTTTTTTTAGTGTTCTGTATACGAATGTCAATCTACTAAGGACTGTGAGATGTGCATGACAGTCTGCTGTGGGTGGTGTATGTTGTATGGCACCCACAAAATACAAATACAATAATATCAATGGTAATAATAAATAACTACCGGTTATAGCAAATTATAATAATTAATGACTATTAGAAAACAATCGCATTGTGAACCCTGATCTAATAGCACGCGTTTATTAATTACCGAACTCCCATCGGTAAGGTCGTAAAGACCCTAGGGGCTTGCTCTCCCAAAACCCCAAAACCATAGAACAAATTTTTGACCGATTTCGGTCTTAAATGCAAATGTTCCTCATACTAATCAGTAATTAGCAGAGTAAACATTATGCATTTATTTATCATATTCATTGTTTTTAGGTACTTAATAAAAAAAAATTGTATCGGAACAAGCAAAATTGTTACCAGATCACATGTGTTCAAAAAGATGGTCAGCTGACTTTTCTGACCTGGTACCAAGAAGAACCAGAAAGCTACGCTTAGTATTTTAATAACACAGACATCAAGTTCAAATAAACCATAAAGCACTACCAGGAACAAGAAAACATTAAAAATAACCCAACACAGACAAAAAGTTAGACTGTTTGAAAATGATTCTTTTCTAGATAAACTGCTTATATTTTGTGCTTACTCATACACTGGCTTTCAAATTACCTTTTCAATGGCTGACATCATCAATCATGTTACACCACTCACAGCAGAATTTCATTCACATCTTGCAGCATGAAGTTAAAATAATCCAAAAGCCTTGTAATTTTCATAATCGTAGTCGTGGTCATATTTATAAAAAACTAGGAAATCTGTAATAACTGAGCCATTAAACTTACAAAACCAGTGAACATATAAACAAAGAGTACTTATGAGGTGCACCTAAAGGAATTCAGTCAATTTGCTCATAAAACAACTATTCAACAAAAAAAAGTGAGTTAAAGAGGCACCAAATAAAAGTAATTTTTGTTTCAGATTAACCTTGATTGTGGTGAAATCAGGGTTACATATAAAAATGGTTACAACAAGTGTCAGTGTAGACTCTGTACATGAAAAAATGGGCGTCTCAAAAATAAAGACCCAAGACCTAAGATCTAAGACCTAAGGTCCCCGCCAAATCTCAAAAACGAAGACCTAAGACCCCCTCAGAATCTCAAAAATTAAGACCTAGGACCCCCTCGGAATCTCAAAAATGAGGACCTAAGACCCCGTCGGAATCTCAAAAATTAAGACCTAGGACCCCCTTGGAATCTCAAAAATGAGGACCTAAGACCCCCTCGGAATCTCAAAAATTAAGACCTGGGTTTGCTTTAATTCAGAACTCAAATCAACAACATGAGTACTTTTTGCAACCCAAATTTGTTTGCATTCGAAGATATTACCCACGAAAAGATTTTATTTTATCTAAATTATATATAAGGTAAGAATGTACACTAAGTTTTTACATTGCCAACGTAATTTGCTGCACACAAGTTGTGCTGTACAAACCTAATGGTAATAAAATGCCAAGTCAAATCTACAGTTGATCAGTTGGTCATCTGTCATAATCATGCTCTAGTGTACTATACAGCACTCTGAAAACATTTCTGCAAATAAACTCGTTTATATAATTTATATGTATATCAAATGAACCGTAACTATTGCTGTTGTTACTAGTTTTATTCATACCTGATTCCACCACTGGTTGTAGCAAGGTTAATCGTAAAATATTTATTTTCATGTGCTACCTCTCAAACTCATTTTCTCTTTGATGTTTTTATCATCGAAATAATGTTCACGTTAAGGACCTATCAGTGCTAATATTGAATGGGTATCCAAGAGAAACATTAGCTTAGCAGTAAAGATTCAAGTAGTAACATTTAATCATGTTGACAACATAATAATGATAGATTCTAAGTTTAAACATGTAGGAATTTTCCAAAAAAAAAGTTTGGGGGTTAAAATATGAACCTTGCTGACAGCTTAAAAACTGCAAGGATTTTAGGTCCTCGTTTAGTTGTGCACCACTGTCAGTGGTAGCTAGTTTCAAAGTGTTAGAGAGGTAAAAGCCCAAACTGTTCTTCAAATAGTATCAACTAACTAAAGTATCAAACAATCTGCAATCATTAACACATGAATGACATTTGTTAGAAAACTGATACTTGTTACCCACTGGTAAAGTATCTGAATGTAAAGTAAGCCACTGAACATACTGCTACCACAATAAAAGTGTTTTTCAGTCTGGACCTCCACACTTTTGCATCTTCCTCTCGTTTAACATTCTTCTTTATGTTTTCCACAAGCTCTGTTATCTTTTGCTTACGTTCATCCCGTCTTCGCTTGCGTATTTGAGTTATACTGTTGATGAGAAGAGAAACCAATTATATAGTTAAAGTGCAGATGTCTCTCGGGCAGACAGGCAAATTCTGAAACCACATTGTCAATGTCCACATGTCCACATCTTTATACTTATGTATGTGAAGATTATCCAGGGAGGAAAACTTCTCCTCACTCATACTGCTCTCGGAAGAGGGAGTTTCAATCTTTTGATGCCACTAAAACTACATTGAG